CAGCACACCGGGTTCTAGTCCCGGTCGGGCACCGGATTCTGTCCCGGTTGCCCCTCTTCCAGGCCAGCTCTCTGCTGTGGCCCGGGAGTGCAGTGGAGGATGGCCCAAGTGCTTGGGCCCTGCTTCCACATGGGAGACCAGGGGAAGCACCTGGCTCCTGGCTTCGCATCAGTGCAGTGCGCCGGCCACAGGGTGCAAGCTGCAGCGGCCATTGGGAGGTGAACTAACGGAAAAGGAAGACCTTTCTCTCTGTCTCTCTCTCTCACTGTCCACTCTGCCTGTCAAAAAAAAAAATAGTAAAAATAAATGGCAATGCATTTTTCACTATTTTTGCGACTCAAATTCAGCCAACAGAATGTGGCTTAATGGAATTTCTCAAGAGGGCTGCTGAAATCAATAGAGAAAAGGATCAGAATTAGCATATCTATTTTAGTGAGAGATAAGGGTCTCAGAAAAGGCATTTTTCTTAGGTACTTTATTTTTATCTCTTGAATCTTTCAGCAAATGCTTTCTTTAAATATTCTTGGTCCCTATCAGAATTTTAATGAAGTGCTAATTAAGAGAGTTTGGATTAAATGAATTTTATAATATATAATCCTCGATAAGAGCAGTCATCTACAACAATTCCCAGAATTCCATGACATTTCAGACAGGCTTCTTGGTGGCAGTAAATGCTCCATTTACTGAGTGTGAATATACAATAGGAGCAACAGAATTCTCCCAGTAACACTAACAGTTACTTTCCCTGCATCCATCCCAAGCCACAGTGCTATCATGGAAGAAACCAAGGCAGTGCCGTTTGCAAACAAGAGCTGTGGGCTGCCAGCGGGGCTGGTACAGGACAGTGGACAGGTGGGACGTGTCCTCACACTCTGGAGTCCTGCGCTAGATCCCAGGGAACCAATGGGCAGGACGCTCTTACCACTGCCTCGGAGTCCACTGGAAAATGCTGATGAGGGCCCCTCTAACAACACGGCCCCACAGCCGCTAGAAGACATGGAGGTAGATTTAAATTAAACAAGTGCATATTCCACACCCACTCACATCCAGCCCAGGGCTAGCCGAGAGTTCCACTAGCGATCAAACCATCTTTCCATTTGCCTTAGAGGAACTGAGCTGGGGACAGCTATTAGCACCATGAGGCCATGTCTCTGCTGGCCTGCTGAACCAAGGGTTCCAAGCTGATTTTATTATCAAAAATTGCCCTCAGGAGTAGAGGCTAAAGCTTCATGTTTCCACTTAGTCACTAATTGTCTGAGTCCCCTGTTCTTTTTATCAAAAAGGATTGGTTTCTAGGTAAAATAGATTGTAAGCCAGCTTTCCATACATTGGAGAATACTGTAGAGCCAGTCTTCCAAGACCAGCTCATTATTCAAAACTGTTTTTGCTGGACCAGCTGGAAACATGGATGAGAAACTGACAACTCCTAGAAACACCAATCGCCACTCACTTCCTGTGTCACAGTGGACCACATGGTTAGACTTAAAAACACAACTTTTTATTCCTTACAATGATAACGTACTCAGACTCTTCTAAAAATTTTTGACAGCTTTTCCCCACTTGGTAACTATTGAAAAACTAAGCCAATAATATTTTTAAAAATCAGTTCTAAGATTTATACCTGAACATCAATCTAAGACCAAAAAGTCTTAATATGTGAAAAAGCTCACTTACATAATACGTAATACATAAAAGCTCACCTAATCTGGGTGTACAGTGAGAAAATCAGATAGGGACTTAGGACAGACTACTTTTGATCTTGTTTCTGCATATGAAAAAAAGTTGCAAGGCTTAAAAACATCATGTATGTAAATCATAGGGCACAATTACAGACATAAAGTAAGGTAGTCAACAGCGGCTGTTATTACTAGCATGCTGCCCTCTGGTGCAAGCCACCTCCACTACTCTCTCTGTGCCATAAAGAGCCAACCAAAGGACGCAGCAGAAGCTACTATACCCCTTCACTATCAGAGCTGTTACCATACAGACGAGGTAAGTATGGGCCGTGTGTGCATTTGCTTACTTAATTGCTTAGTCAATTTAAAAAAAACTATCCCAGCCCATTCTAAGAACAATTTGGGGCAAGTGTATGGCCCCGTGGTTAAGATGCCCACATTCTATACTAGAGTGCCTGGGCCTCTGCTCTGGATTCCAGCTTCCTGCCAATGCACACCCTGGGAGGCAGAAGTGATGACTCAAGTCGGCTGGGTCCTCAAAACAGACCCAGGAGATCTGCATGGAGTTTTGGGCTCCTGGCTTCAGCCCTGACCCAGCCCTGGCTATTACAGGCATTTGGGGAGTAGACCAGAGGATGGAAGATCTCCGTCTTCTAAATAAAATTAAAATTTAAAAAATGTAAAACAGCACGACTGTTGCTTTCACTATGACATGTCACAGATCACTTGTCATTTTCTAGTAGTAAACTCCACCTGGACAAATACAACAGACCTGACAGCAAACCTACGAAATTATCCATATCTTTCAAACTTTTAGAAAGTTATTCTTGAATATCTCTGTGACACCTTAACACCTTCCCTAACTGCAGTATTTGCAATGAAAGATGAAATGAAATGATTTTCAAAAAAAAAGTTGACTAGATACCTTAAGTTTAGTCATATAAAAACCTACCATATTTTAGCCTTAATATAAATCAAGCCCCAATTCATCTGACATGAAATTTTGTAAAATTGAATATTGCTAAGAAAAAACAAGTCCAAAAGGGACATGAACATTTTGCCATAATTGTTTGAGTGACTTACACCATCTTTATTTTTATTGTTCCATAGGAAATATGCATCTTCACGAGAAGCCACAAAATAACTCAAGGTAAACAAACTTCTAATGCACATGTTTTAACAGAAGTAGATTCTGAAGTTTTGGGTAAACGTAAATTTAAGTCAAGATATAGAAAGTAAAATCTTTGGTCCTATTTGTAGCCACAATCCAAGTTCCTCAAACTATCATCATGAAAAATGAGCTTTGGGATAAATAAATACTGATGTGTTTCCTGGGGAAAAAGCAAAGAAAAAGATACCCAAGGGAGGACCTATTGTGATTCAGCATAGCCAGCATTGGTGTATTTACAAAGAGAACTGCATTGCTCCCCTTCAGTGCAAAGAAGTAGAGCTGGGCCAAATAGCTCTGTATTCCCTCCTGGAAAGAAAATCCTACAGGATTACAAATGTGCAAAGTGGGTACCAAGTTTTACAATTTCTCTCTTAATTTCACTGGGAGTATTAAATGGCCTCAAGCCAACTTCAACACAAAACATGAGAAAGCAAAAGAGAATATGCCTATCTATTATTCATGCTATTTTCCCCTTGTGTTTATTTCTCTCTCTACTTTCTCTTTCCAAGGTTGACACAGTCAACATCAAAGTCACTTCTTTCTCAATCATTTTGCACCCAGCAATGGCCTCACACTGATAAGGCTCTGGTAAGATCAATGAAAAGGTCGGTGCAGCGGCTCACTAGGCTAATCCTCCGCCTGCGGTGCCAGCACCCTGGGTTCTAGTCCCAGTTGGGGCACTGGTTCTGTCCCGGTTGCTCCTCTTCTAGTACAGCTCTCTGCTGTGGCCTGGGAGTGCAGTGGAGGATGGCCCAAGTACTTGGGCCCTGCACCCCATGGGAGACCAGGAGAAGCACCTGGCTCCTGCCTTCGGATCGGCCATTTGGGGGGTGAACCAATGGAAGGAAGACCTTTCTCTCTGTCTCTCTCTGTGTCTATCTCTGCCTGTCAAAAAAAAAAAAATCAATGAAAAGCTGCAAGAGATGAATCCAAATCCTGTTCTGGCAATAGAGAGAGGAGGGCTTCAGCCCAGCGTTCAGCGCTCTGTTCACAGCTTCAGAGCAGGCTCCCTGCGGGGCTGGTCGAGCAGCCTGGAACCTACCATGATGGCGGCAGACTCTCAACCTGATCACCACTCCCGAATACTGTCCTCCTACTCCTCGAACCTCAGGCAGCCTATTTTAAGGATCCAATTTGAGGAACATTTATGAATTGCAATTATTAGATATTGTCAAGTCTACAGCCTTGCTACTTACGTGTGTGTGTGTGCACACACATACACACACACTCCTAGATTAATACAATAAATGATACAGACAAAAGACATCATCTTTAACCCTTCTAGGCCCTCACGGATTTGAGTTGCTACACCTCCGACCGTACCCCTTGAAAGACCAAACAGCACCTGAAGGGCGGACCTCTTCAAAGCAAAACCAGCGGGGATCGGGAGCAAGCAGGCAGCTGGTGTGGCCAGAGCAAGGCAAAGCACCTTGGAGCACAAACACTCTTCCAACCCGCACTGGCTCTGTCCTGACAGCGAGCCGCTGGCGGGTGTGCGCTGGTGGCCGGCTCTGACCGTGCGCACCCACTGGGGAGGCCTGAAGCCGCTGCAGCCATGCGGGAGTCCCCCCGGAGCACTGCTCACACCTGCTGGGCACATGCTGTACTGTCCAAGGGTTATCCGAATTATTCTCCCATTTCTGAGGCAGATGCCGTTTCTTTAGGAAAGGTTCATGGACCATCTCAATCCAGAAAGAGAGCTCCTTCTATCACAGCGGCTTAGTATTTTCCACTTACAATATTCATTTGAGATCTTTCATGAATGATTCTTTATTTCAGCCAGGTTTTCACATGCATGCAATATCGTGCTACGCTTAAGGACAAGAGGCCCATCTATTTGTGCATCTCCTCTGGGACTTGGAACAATGCAGTGTGAGTTATAGTTGCTCAATTAATATTTGTTGAGAATATACAAGTCTGTGATTAAAGCCAAGGTCACAGTATTAAATATTTCACATTCCAAAAAATGAGATGTCACAGCTCTTCAATTGTTTGGGCAGACACTATCTGGGCTGATTGTGTTTCTGCTCTATCTTAGAAATGCACATTGTCAAGGCACAGCATGTCCCAGGGCCATCAGCCTAGCAAAAGCAGAGTAACTGTCATGGAACTCATCTCTGCACCCAAGGCCGCTTTGCTTGGCGGCTCCTTACCTGATAACATATTGTCTGTTTTTATGGAGGGGAACTTCAAAGTCATTTCATGCTTGTGCCTATGAATCATCAGATGGTCCTCTGTGGGGAAGCGCTGTCAGAAAAATGGAGAGAAGGGGAGGGGAGAGAGGAGCCATTGAGTATTGTGATGCACATTTGCCATCATGGAGAAAAGATGTATTCAACATTGCAAACATGACAGGCAACAAAGCAAAGTGAGAAACGGGCTGATGCAAGCCAAGGTGCTGGGGTGTTCCTCCGGATGGCAGTGAAATGCACACATTGAAAGCTTCCATCAGAGATCACCAAAGGGCCTCCCCGAACTGCAGGAACAGTGAGCCGAGTATGAAGAGTGAGTAGGAGGGCTTCGTGTTCTATCGTTCTCCGACTCCCCACACCTTCCCTGGACCTTTGTTAAAGGCCCCTATTTCTTAGGTAGTCCCTGGAAACAACCAACTGTGCTGACTAGTCAGTAAGATATATATTTTCTTTTAGAAACAAGAGGTTTGCCTATGAGGGTAAACTCTCAACTCTGTTTAAAGGATAAGACAGGAAGAGGTAGATGAACACTATTGATGGTATTAAAATAATGTACACACCAAAATAGGTTGTGCCTTAACACCTACCAAGTGTTAGGCAGCTTCTTAAAAAAAGAAGGAACGAAAGAAACAAAGTGTTGAAATGGCTGCTGACTTAGATCACACAGTAAGCGATAATGGTAGCATGACAGAATTAAAAACTCTCCCATTTCTTCTTACGCATTTCAGAAAACCACATCCAAAATACTCAAATAGATTTTAGATCCAATAGCACTGGCAATTTGCAAAAAAACAACTAGGAACTTTTCTCTAGTAGTTACTGTTGTATGTAATACTGTAAAATTAACTCTAGGGTATGATAAGTGTGCTAGACATTATCTATAGATTAGCCAAAGTTACCAGAAATGCAAGCAAAGAATCCTGATTCAAGTCAGACTCAGGGAAGGAATGATACGCCATGCTTAATTATTTGACATGTATATCTACAAACGCACACCATGACATTCATACAGTATGTTTCCACTTACAGAGACATGGCCCAACCGTTCACTGATTTTTTTTATAATTATACAGGATTTTATACCAACATGACAAATTATTTTCAGTATCCTACTCTCTGTGCTGTGTGGCAAACCAACATTTTATATTTAATTTTGATGGAATTATACTGTGGTTTTTCAAAAGTGTTCCCAAATGTTTTGGGTGTCTGACTCCTGGTCATATGGTAGGCCTGAATTTTCCGGTGCTCTTGAGGTTGGAGGAGGTCCTGTGCCTCGTTCCACCCACTGAGTCACCAATGGCAGCAACAGTCACCCCAGGGCAAGCATCTCATTCCCGCACTAGGACCCTATAGCATCTACTCCCTTCTTCCCAGCAGTATGGCAACTGCAACCTGGGAAGTGCCAGTCCCTCCATCAATTCAACTCTGAAGGATTATGAAGAGCAGTTCTGAACTCTACAGGATTTGAAGAGCTTCCTGCCAATGTACAATGGAGATGTATCTTTGAGTAACAGAAATAAGCCTCTGTTGAGGTAATTTGTTATGGTAGCAGATGCTAGCATATCCTGACTCAGACTGGTGAGTTTGCGATAACTGAACCTAGCACGGGATCTGCTCTGGCAAGGTCAAGTGAAAATGCAGTAAGACAACTCATTCTACTGGACACTTATCAAACTCAGACAACCTAGAACATTTCAGAGCTTCCTACTTCCTCAGGTTAGTCCATGCAAGACTCAGTTGCCTTTGGAAAGTATGGCAGGGGGCCGGCGCTGTGATGTAGCGGGTAAAGCTGCCACTTTCATGCCTGCATTCCATGTGGGTGCCAGTTCAAGGCCCGGCTGCTCCACTTCTGACCCAGCTCTCTGCTTTGGCCTGGGAAAGCAGTAGAAGATAGCTCAAGTCCTTGAGCCCCTGCACCTGTGTGGGAGACCCCAAAGAAAGCTCCTGGCTCCTGCCTTGGGATCGGCATGGCTCCGGCCATTTGGGCCAATTGGAGAGTGAACCAGCAGATGGAAGACTTCTCCCTTTCTCTGCCTCTCTCTCTGTGTAACTCTGACTTTCAAATGAATAAATAAATATTTAAAATAAAAAAAAAGTATGGAAGAATTCTGCAAATAGTATGGATTTGTGTTTAATGCAATGGAGTTCACGAGGCTGAATCCCGTGGAATACTGCAAAAGTAGTTATTTGCAGATGTGATGTATTTGTCATTTGTGTCACATGAATTGGACAGCATGGAATTTGCAAGCATATGAATTATGCCGTATTTGAATACCGGAACGTTCACTTTATATGAAATGCACTTTTGTTACTTCTGGTTCATTTATTCTCTTGATCTTCTAGAGCACCATGAAGTAACTACACCAAATATAAGACACCACCAGGTGCAGCTTCGAGTCTTTCCCAAGACTTCTCATCAAAAGCCCAATTATATTTTTTGTGATATTTACATATGTAACAATCAACAGGGAAATACCCATCATGGCGTGGTGATGAGCCATTTGACTCCATAAAAATAATAGCCTAAATTAGTAGGATATTAACCAGATTACTTATTAAATAATTTCTATAATGTGTTCTATTAAATATAATTACCTCACAAACAAGATGATACAGGGCATACCCTATGGTTTAGTTAGGTAGGAAAACAGCAGCAAAGTGTAAGTAACCAGAATGCGCAGCCTACCAGAGATCCGGAGCCGAGAAAGGCCGGTGGAACTGAAAACAGGGTCAATGCACAGGGCAAAGGACAAGCACCAGCAACCCTGGCCTCTGTGAGAACACCAAGGTTAGGAAAGCTGGCTCCTCCTCCCTCCCAAGGCACGATGCCGCCTAAGGAGTGGGAACCGGAGAGCTCTCCGGCCTATTCCGGGCCCTTCCTAACAGAGCAGAAGTGTTTCCAACCAGAGGAAGACGGCAACCCACAGCATTTGCCATCCCTAGCATCTCTCTCCTCCATGCAGATCCCCGGGCTGGCAGCCACCCCTGGAGTGAATACCATGCTCACCACCGCCGGCTGGGTGCGCCTGGGGCTGCCTGGGAGTCCGGCACATTTCCTCAAACCTAACTTCCCTGCTGCTCAAGATGCACCCGTTTTAACAGCTTCAAGAAGCCAGAGATAACTGCTCCAGGAAACCCAGTGTTGGACGCACTGTGACATTCACACGTCAGAGAGGCGGGCTTGGAGGTGTACTTTAAAATCTGCAACCATTACAAGGTCCTCAACTCTCCAAGCTTTTCCTCCACCCATTTTTTTCATTCTGCTCCGGGAGACCACCTGTCCGCTCACTGCGCTGTTCAAGTCTTTCAATACAACCTCCCCCAACCTCTGTGGCCTTCTCGCCCTCGGAACCTGCATGTGACTCCGGGCAATCCCTCCCCATTCCCTCCTGCTCGGAGGCAGGACCCTCCACACCCCTTACCTCCTAGGATCTGTCCCCCAAGCCAGCAAGGTCACTGCCTCCCTCCCGCTGGTGTCCTGCCCTTGACCAAACCCTGCTTGGCTAGCCTTGCTTTTTAAAAAAGCTGCCTCCTCCTCGGGCTGCCATTATATCACCCTGCTTCCCGTCACTGCCCGGGGCTCTGAAAGGCTCCTCTGTGCTTGGGCGCCTCCGCTTCCTCGCCGCCCACTCACACGTTAATCCCCGGCGATCTGGCCGCCGCCCCAGGCCGCCCTCCTCGGTCGCCACCGAGCACCCGGTGCCAAATCCAACAGCTCCTGCTCAGTCCTCCGCCTCTCCCAGCCCTCGCAGCCTGACACCGGTGACCGCACGTCTGCTCTGAACGGAAGAGAAGATGGCTTGGGATAATGAGGTCTAAAATAGAGGCAAATGTGTCGACTAGAAGGAAGTGGACCCCAGAGAGGGGGGCTCCGAAGAGAACTGAAGCTCGAGCTGAAATGCAGACCCCCAAGGCAGTCGTTGTGCCGGGGGACACCTGGCGGACGCTGGATACTTCCGGTTATCACAACCGGACAGTGTTACTAGGGAGCTGGCGCGTGCAGGCCAGCAGCGCCCAGTGTGGCCCTCCCAAGAGAACCGTCCAGCCCATAGTCAGCGCCAGACCTGGGAAACTCGGCCACATGGTCCCAGGACTCAACACGCACCCCGCTTCCCTCTGACTTACCTAAATACTAGACGTGGCTAAAGCTTCTAATGTCTTTCAAAGAGATGGGCTGCAATATAATAGTAGGTGGTGCTAATAGCCTTAGGTGCTAACTGAGCACCTGCTATGCATAGCTCCTGTACTCTATCACTCCACAGGTAGTAGTTTTACCCATCCTGATTGCATTCACAGTGGTTACGGGACTTAACCCAGCACAGGACAACTTCCTCTCCTGAGGTTCAGATACACGAGCAAAGTATAGGTTCTAGAAGATTTATATGGAATATCTTTTACTCGTGAGAGATCAGGCAGTGGGGTTTACTCTAGCAGGTGAGACTTTGCTTATCATGCCAGCGAGTGCCTGCGTTGGACTGCTGGCTCTAGTTCTGGACTCCAGCTCCCTAAGTATGCAGACCTAGCCCTGAGAGGCACCAGTGATGGCTTAAAACCTTAGGTTCCTGCCACCCACATTGGAGACCTGCGCATGGGGCCCCTGGCTGCGGCTTGGCCCAGCCTTGGCCATCGCAGCCATTTCTGTAGCAAACCAGCGGATGGGAACTCTCAAATCAATAAATAGTTTTTAAGCAGAGGAAGAGAAGAGAGAAGGGAGCTGCAGAAAGTGGAATTCACAGGTGTTACAAGTTTCCTATGAAATCGTTGGGGACCCCTCATGGAGCCCACCCTATGGTAGTGGTGAGCTACAGGGGGACGTTTTGGGTGGAAATGCTCACCCCTACTGTATTTCAGGGACTATGAAGGAAGTAATTCGCATTATTCAAAGGAGAATATGATCTCAGTGATGGAAATGACAGTGATGGAGACGACAGCATGGGGGGCTTTAACCATATCTCTGGAGAGAGGGCCCGGGGTGGACCTGATGGCCAGGTGAGGGCCGCCTCCCTGTCGGAGGCAGGTGCGTCCGCTCATGCCAGAGCACAGCCTGTGTGCACGCCACCCACTCACCTGGGAGCAGCCCGGGGCACTGCAGACAAATGGCCTCTCCTGCTCCAAATTCATCTTGGATTCCTCATAAATCTGTAGGGGCAGAGGAAGAGGGAGAGAGGAAAACAGAAATCCATGAATATCTCCTGCTGCTGGCTGAGAAACACGAGAAAGCAATCACCCAAGCTCTATGAGCAAAGCCTTGACAATGAAAGGACACAAGTCCTGCTTGGCTGAGGGTCATTAGGCGCCCCCAGCCAGGGCTCCCATTGTGCTCTCTGGAGTACTTATTGACTGTACTTTAAAGAAGAATGCCAAGGGGCTGCTGCTGTGGCACAGCGGGTAAAGCCGCCACCTGCATTGCCAGCATCTCTTGTGGGCGCTGGTTCCAGATCCGGCTGCTCCATTTCTGATCCAGCTCTCTATGGCCTGGGAAAGCAGTAGAAGATGGCCCAAGTCCTTAGCCCTTGCACCTGTGTGGGAGACCCAGAAGAAGCTCCTGGCTTCAGATCAGCACAGCTCTAGCTGTTGTGGCCTTTTGGGAAGTAAGCTATCGGATGGAAGACTTTCTCTCTCTCTCTGTAACTGTGCCTTTCAAATAAGTAAATAAGTCTTAAAAAAAAAAAAAAAAGATGACAACGACAATGACAAATGCTATGGCATTGTCACAGCAGGAACGCTGTCTATGGAGAAACCACCTGCAGGAAGCTCTCAGGCCAAGTGCACACGCATCCTTTACACTCCCGCTCAGAGCTTCAGGGGTTGGCTGCCTGGGAGAGGGGCAGTCCCTGGGCCCTCATCAGTGCATGGGCCAGCCTCCAGCAACACATCAAGTGACACCCCATTGTTACCCCCAAAGAGCTCCAGTACCACCAAGGCATAGATTGGAAAGCAGCCCCAGAACCAGTCTAGCCAATGATTCTGGCGGTCAGCCATGGTCTTCAGTTCCCCTCCGCCCAACATTGGAGGATGCCTTGACAAAAACCATCCAGCTCACGTGATGGCAAATGAAGGAATTGGCAAATGCAAAAACATGACCTTGGATATTTTGGTAATTTAGTTTTATAAGCCGATTTGAAATTAATAGGAGGTGAAAGCTGCTGCCCTTCTAGAAAAAATTATCTGGGATAAAACAGCTGTAAGGAGAAATAAAACTTTGTAATCAGGCACACAGGGCTCTTCAAAAAGTTCATGGGAAACATATGATGAAAATCCCTTGCATGGATTTCAAGTTTTTTTGTACCAAAATCAACTTTTAATGCCATTTGCCATGAACCTTTTACAGTATCCTCAAATGTTCAATAACACTGCAGTCTTTTCTTATGTAGAGGGTCTCTTTTAAGTTGCATTCATTAGGCTCCAGCATGGTGTCACAGCATTCCACACGGGCCTCCCCTATGAGCATTGGTTCAAGTCCCAACTTTTCCACTTCCAACCCAGCTTCCTGATAATACATCTGGGGAGGCAGTGGAGGATGACCCGAGGACTTAAGTCCCTGCCACCCATATGGGAGACCCAGATGGAGTTTCTGGTTCCTGGCTTTGGCCTGGTCCAACCCTGGCTGTAGTGGCCATTTGGAGAGTGAAGCAGTGGATGGAAGATCTCCCTCCCTGTCACGTTGCCTTTCAAATAAATAAATCTTTAAAAGAAATATGTTCACTAGGCAGAAACTGAATATAGTTGAGATCACCTTTGCAGATCACCCCGAAACCACTGAAAGTATAGTGCACACCATTTTGTGGTTACCAATCCACACAGTAACATACATAATTTTTCAGGCATTGCAAGAGGTACTATGCAAATGTGTTAGAAAATTCAAATCCTTTCTAAGTCATAATTTTGTGTAAATATTAGAGTTGAGTTTACGTAAGCTAAATGCCCTCATGGCCCTCTCAGCGGAGTAGAACCTTCTGCTTTCACTCTGAGCACAGAAACAATCTGCTTTCTTAAAAAAAAGCTACTTCCAGGTGACTCCCCAAGGGCTTCCAAGGCATCTTTGTCCCCTCAAGAAGGAACTCTGCCTAGCATCACACAAAGGAGCTCTATGATCTTGCAGCCAAAGCCAAGGCTACCTTGCAGACCATCACACCTTTTTCCAAAACTCTAATGTATCTGACATATGAGGGTGCTACAAAAAGTTCATGTAAAATTGGAATTGACAGGTAAGTTTATCTTGGCAACACAAAAAAAAATCCTGCAAGTCATGGGTAGTTGTTTAATCACATGCATTTTCCATGAACTGTTTATACATCTTTCACATGCATGAATTTCAAAGCTTTTGCACCAAAATAAACTTATAGTTCCATTTTCCATAAACTTTTTGAAGTGCCCTTGTGTATCCTATGGGAAAATACATGTGCACTTTCACTTTTCTGAAGCATGAAAATGACAAGAGTTGCCTTAAATAACACTGCCAGTTAGAGGAGATGTTTGTAACGAAAATTGTAGATGAAGAGCCTCTTGAAACCCCTCTGCCTCTTACAGGTTTCATAGGGCCAAGACCTCTCTGCTGTGCACTGGGATGGCTTCCCCTGGACACCATCGTACGTGAGGAGCATCACTGTACAGCTTTCCTGTGTTAAGCATATCATGTAAACTCATTTACTGTATTATACTTCCAAGAAAAAAATCACAAATATCTGTGGGATCTTTCTCCCTGCCTTCTTCCATGCCAGTCATGAGCAATTCAAGTAGCTTCCCATGCCTCCTTGTTCATTTGATGTTGCCATTGTGGATCACAGAGCATGCCTCTCCCCTCTGTGAGTACCAGAAACTTACTTCTAAGTCTTAAAAATAACAGCGACTTCTGGGGCTGGCATTGTGGTGAAGCAGGCAAAGCCACCACCTGTGACACCAGCATCCCATATAGGCGCCTGTTTGTGTCCCAGCTGCTCTACTTGCAATCAAGCTGCCTTCTAATGGCCTAGGGAAATCAGTGGAAGATAGGCCCCCATCATGCATGTGGGAGACCTGGTAGAAGCTCCTGGCTCCTGGCTTCAGCCTGGCCCAGCCCTGGCTGTTGCAACCATTCGGGGAGTAAATCAGTAGATGGAAGATCTAACTCTGACATTTAAGTAAATAAATAAATTTTAAAAATGAAAATTCAGAGTGACTTTAAAGCTAAGGAAATGACTTTGATCCAAGGTAGGATCAACAGAGTAACTGGGTGATCCTTAAGTTAAACCTGCCTGGTTTTTCCAGTACATTTCCAAAAATGCTTGCCTGCTCCACCTGCACCAGCACGGGCCTGGCCTGCTGAGCCTCGCTCTGCGCCTCAGTGTCCCCGCCTTTCTTAGAGGGGCATGACCGCCCATCTTCAGCACCCACATTCCCATGTCACACTGGTCATTCAGGAAGGTGGGAGGAGGGGGATTGCAAGCCATTTCTAAGTGTGGACAAAGGGCTGGGTATTGATGGGTAGAGTTTGGGGGTATGAGAGGTCTGTGGCCAAGCATTATTGGGCCACCTAATATTTGCTCTAAAATCTAAATATAAAATCACAAGATTTGCTCTAGGTCAGCCTTTGTTGAATACCATTTACAAACTTCAGTTGCTAATATAACCAATGAATGCCACCCTTACTAACCACTGAGATTGCACGTTAGTAAGATGAGAAAGCTCCGTGTGTACACACCTACATCTGAAAGTAATAACGAAGGGGAAACATTAAACTGATGCCCAAGACCGGCAGTGCCATCGTGGAAGGTTGAAAATGATTTGCTTGTAAGTCAATGGAAGGAAAGAAAATGACCAAGCTCAGGTCTAAGCGGAGAAAGTGTATTTTCTGTCATAATCGCAAATGCACCCCAAGCCTCACTCGACCAAAATGCTGACTTCCTCCATAAATTCAGAGCCATAATGCTACTATCTTGGCAATTCTGTGTGATATCAACTACTGCTACCTTAATTATTGGTTCTCATTTGCAAATGAGCTACAACATGCATCTTATTACGTATAGTGTTCTATGATGCTGGTGCTGGGCGACAGAGCAGGGTCTATAAATCTACCATCTTACTGAGCCCTCATGATACTAGATGTTCGGATGATTCAACATCCACCAAGATGCTACCATTGAAAGAGCTTGTTCCTCAGGAGATACAAGGTGAGAAATGCAGAGTCTGTCCCGCAGGACTTTAGAATCTGGTCATGGAGAGCTTCCACTGAGTCACCGTCGTCATTTTATTATGTTACTTTCAAAATATAAATGACTGTCAACATATTGCATGCTAAGAATCCCATGGATCAAATTTGCTCAGGCAGCGTCATACTGGAATACAAGCGTTCGGGTGAAGTGGCAGTTGCTAACCTAAGTTTAAGTGATTAACAAGTCCCGGGGTGAGTGGGTGTGCAGCTCTAAGTGTACAAACCTCAACTGCTTTATTTTGATGTGCTGCAGTGCCCACATCGGGCTCGGCACACAGCACACCCTTGCTAATTCCCTGCTGTGTAGGTGTTCGCCATGCCTTAAGTAAATGGTACCACTCAACCACACAGCCTTCATTACTTTTATCAACTAGTACGATCAGTCTGATGTGTTAGTCAAGAGTCCGGATTTATTTTTATGGTCTATTATTAGGGTTCTTTTCTAGCACATATTGTAATAATTATTCTCTCAAGCAGATCCTGCTTAGGTTGTTCTATCATCCATCAAGTAGGGGCAAATTACTGAGACATGATTTTAGCCACGTTGCTCCACATTCGGTCTTCAGAAGTCAGGCCTCATCCTCTCTCCCATTTCCCTTTCAGCTGTTTTACTGGCTGGGATTTTTTTTTAATGACCCAAGTTTTGCTTGGCAATCTCCATATAGCCCAGGTTCCACTGCCTAGCGCTTCCACAGTGGGCATTCAATAAATATTTGCGGAATGGATAATGAATCCTGAATCATCCCTGTAAATCCTTCCACACAGCTCGCCTGCACTCTGCTCCTCAGGCCGTGGTTTGCAAGCTTTTCTGCCCGGAATTAAGTGTTCAGGGAGGCAAGGGTTTGGGTGAGCCACTCGCTCCACCTGTCCCAGTTACAGCCAGGGAAGAAAGCTCCCGGATCCAGTCAGAAAAAGTCAAAGTTGTTGGGGTGGAAACAGGGAAGTGAAG